GAAAAAAATATGAGAAATATTGAGTGAGAATTGTCTGACTATATGTACATGTCAAGATCTAACCCAAGCATGATGACTGTCTCTAAGGGTGAGTTTTATCTCATCCTGCAGCTGTCTCCTACAAAACAGTCAGAAAGATCATAACCTAAAACCCCTTGATTGTAAAGAGAACCCTGGTGGATGAATTCAGATATAGACTTGTAGACCTCACTTGCCCAGAATTAGGTGATACAAATCAGTCAGCCAGAGAGATCCCAACTCAGCCAGACCTACAAGGCAAAGCATTTCAAAACATGAGCCACAGAACTCAGCAGTTGCCTTGTTGGAGGAAGGCAGCTCCTTTATGAGATGGTGGGAGGAATCATCAACTGGTTAGTGAAACCATTTCAAATCAGTCACCAAGTGGTGTCTCTTTCAGAGTCTTAATTCTGTCTTCGAGCTTCAAAGCATAGAATCATAGAAAGCCTTGAATTAAAAGGCACATTAAAGATCATCTAGTTCCAAGCCCCTTGCAGGGACACCTTCCTCTAGAGCAGGTTGTTAAGGGTCTCATCCAGCCTGGCCTTGAACAGTCCCAGGGCTGGGGCATTGGCCTGTTTCAGGGCTTCTAAACCTACTCTCTTTCAGTTTAAAACCATTTCCCCTTTTCCTACAACTACACCCTCTTGTAAGAAAGCCTCTCTCCAGCTTTCCTGTGGGTTCCCTTCAGGTACTGGGAGGCCTGCAATTAGTTCACCTTAAGGCTTTCTCTTCCCCAGGCTGAGCAATCCTGATTCCCTCAGCCTTTCCTTGTAGAAGAGGTACTCTAGCCCTCCAATCATGCTGAAACTGGAACAGAACAAGAACCAGTCTGAGCAAATCTCCATCCTGCACTGGGGTAATGAACTGATAATTATAATAGCCTGAAAGTATCTGTGTCTGCACTGACTAAACCAAATAGCTCTTGCTCATCAAATCAGAAAAGACTCTCAACCATAGGTGAGTTCTGCTCATTAGTTCACTTTCTGTGAAGCCAGTACCAGTCTGGAACCTTTTCTAATATATACATTTCTCACATCTATTTTTTTCTGTTTGAGGCAGTGGAAGAACAAACAAATATGACATAGCGGTGTTATTAAGCCATAAGCAGACCAAGAGCAAGGAGGTAGAGCTTTCAGAAGAGAAGCATCACAAAAGCATCATTTTTTGGGAGCTTTATTGTAAAAAAATTAATTTACCTAACTAGAAGGAGATTACTTTTTTTTAAAAAAGTGCAATACCTAAAGCTAATTTCCTTTTTCACTGAGAATAAGGACACTAGTGAATGCAAAATCTTCCATAGTGAATGAGAGCTATACAGCTTACATAGAGCATTTGAAAATCACTCTCATTGTTATTAAACTTCTTATATATATTGATCTTTTACTTCTTATATATATTGATCTTGGCTATCACTGGGGAGTGATCCTGTAACTTCTACATCATGAACTATAGTCTTTAAAGTTTAAGCAAAGGGAGTTAGTATTTGTATTTACAGTTACCAAACAGTTCATACCTTCTGCAGTTCAAGCACAGCCAAAGATATGCAATACATACCAAGGAGAGGTTATATACAAATACACAGAGTGATGAACCCTCAAAAGTACATTCTGCTTTGGCTTTTCTAGCTCTGTACAGAAGCTGATAACCTTGAATGCACTCAAATAAAGTTATTATGAGGGGCCAAAAAATGGTTCAAATGCTTTTATAAAGTATTAAATTTTATACAATTGAGAAAAGTTTAAATTGCTTTTATTTTAAAAATGTAGAACATCTTAAAATACATTGGTTTAATTATTTAAAGGTGCTTCAGCTGCTCAAAGTTAGTTACTTTAATTTGGAAAGCCTGTTGAAATATGCATACATTTAAAATCTTTTTAAAATTGATTAAAAAAATTCCTTCTCTTAATTCCAATTTTTCATTAATTAAAAATATTTTTCATTCCAATTGTTCTAAATGCAATTTTCAGCTAAGAATGCCCATGTGCCTTTGATTTCAAACCATAAAGAGCCACAATAACAAAATAAATTTTAGTTTTATTTTGGGTCTTTGTTAAAAAAAGAAATAGAAGAAAAGGCAGATCACAAGTTCTGGACTAATATTCTATCCTTTGCCACAAAAACCACACAGTACACAGAATATCAATGTGAGCTTGCTTCCTTATGCTACTAGGTTTTTTTCTAATTTGATCTCCAAAATCCAGTCTCTGGAAGTTAATTTTCCAGGGTGAATTTCTGAAGAAAGTTCTTTTCTTCAGTAGAATTTGCCTTTGCCCCAGAGCCTGAAGAGAGTATTGTGATCACCTTGTTGGATTGGTCAGAGGTTCAAGATCCTGCCTCCATGCAAAACCCCATCCTATTTTCAAATGAACACAGGACACCTTTGAGGGGCTCATTCACTTAAAGAACATTTATGAAGTCCATTTAAATGGCCTCTTACTCTTCTTTTGGATAAGATAAAGGGACTTCCCTCTGCACCCACTGAACACAGGTTTTCTAGGTTTTATTCTTGTAATAAGAATAGCAGTGCATTTTTCATTGTGCTACCTCCTGAGAACCTTCCAGCCTCTCAAGATCCTGTTGGCACTTCTCATGCTAGATCTAGACAATCACACAAATGTCTTTCACGTTGCCTAAACCAAGGAATGGCAGGTGAAACATTCTATAACCAACTGGCTAATGTTTCATGATTGCTAGCCTTTGCTCTTGTGGGAGACTTTAACTTGCCAGATGTCTGCTGGAAACTCAACACAGTGAAGAGGCAGTCTAGGAGGTTCCTGGAGCATGAGGAAGAAAAATTTCTGACACATCTGACTGAGTCTACCAGGGACAGTGCCCTGCTGTTTATGAACAGAGAAGGGCTGGGGGGAGATGTGGTGCTAAGAGGCTGCCTTGGGCATAGTGACCCCAAAATGGTAGAGTTCACAATTCGTGGTGAAGGGAGGAAGAGGGTCAACAAAACCTCTACCTTGGACAGTCCTTAATAACAAAGGAGTGCAGGAGAGTTAGACACACTTTAAGAAAGAAATCTTAAAAGCACAGAAGGGGGCTATCCCCATGTGCCAGAAGATGAGCTGATGTGGGAAGAAGACCTGTCTGGCTGAACAGGGAGCTCTCACTGGAAATCAGAGAGGAAAAAAGAAAAAAGAGTTAAGGATCTTTCCAAGAAGGGGCAGGCAGCCCAGGGAGAGTAGAAGGGTGTTGTTAGGCCATGTAGAGAGAAAATTAGAAAGTTGAAAACTCAGCTAGAGCTCAATCTGGCAACTGCTGTGAGAGATAATAAAAAGTGTTTTTATAAATAAATTACCAGCAAAAGGAGAGCTAAGTAAATTCTCTTTCCTTGGATGTGGGGAAGGGGGGAACATTGTAACCAAGTATCAGGAAAAGGCTGAGGTACTTGTACTTTCTTTGCCTCAGTCTTTCACAGCAAGACTGGTTGTCCTCAGGGCAACATTTTAGCTGTTAGACAAGGTCTGGGAGCAGATTAGGAGCCCTGCAATCCAAGAGGAGGCAGCTAGTGACCCACTGTGCCACCTGGCCACTCATGAAACTGTGCGAGTACAAAGGATGTGGCTGTGTTGGTTGACAGCAGCTGAACATAATCCAGGGTGTGCCCAGGTGGCCAAGAAGGCCATTGCCATCCTGGCCTGCATCAGCAGTGGTGGGGCCAGCAGGACCAGGGCAGGGATTGTTCTCCTGTTCTCAGCACTGGTGAGGTCCCACCTCAAGGGCTCTGTCCAGCCTGGGCCCCTCAGAACAAAAAGACAGACACTGAGGGGCTGGAGCGTGTCTAGAGAGGGCAGTGGAGCTGGGGAAGGGTCTAGGGAGCAGGCCACATGAGGAGGGCTGAGGGAGCTGGGGTGTTCAGCCAGGACAGGAGGAGGCTCAGGGGACCTCATCATTTCCCAAGTGCCTGAAAGGAGGTTGCAGCCAGGTGTAGCCTCTTCTTCCAGGCAGCCAGCAAGAGGACAGGAAGAAATAGCCTCAAGCTGCACCAGGGGAGGTTCAGGTGGGACAATCAGGATGAATTTCCTCCCTGAAAGGGCTGTCAAGCATTGAAACAGACTGTCCAGGAAGGTGGTGGAGTCACCATCCCTGGAACTGCTCAAGAAATTACTGGATGTGGCACTTAGTGCTCTGCTTTATTTGACCTGATGGTGATCAGTCAAAGGTTGGATTCAATGATCTTGGAGGTCTTTTCCAATCTTAATGATTCTATGAGTCCATTATCATATTAGGAGCTCAGATTGTGTTACTTCTGAAACAGATAGACACGTTTCTTTCAAAGTTGCATTTTTTAGGATTCAGCCCATCCTTCACATGTTTCTCTTCTTAATGGGAATTCTGTTTTTTTCCTCAAGGCAAGACTGTCTTCTATCTATTCACATTAAAATTAAAAATTTAATATTTTTTGATTGCAACCTGTATGTCATACAAAAAGATAACTGCATAAATAACTATCCTGCATTGTTACTTAATGTGATATGATGTGATCTATAAATTATATTCTGACTATCAGCAAGGGTGAAAACTTAACCTTGCAGTTGTAAATACCAAGTATTGCTTAAAAGAAATTAAACCAATTAATTTTAAAATGGATACTTTAGTAGCCTTCAGTTAATTTATAGCACTCTGTCTGTACTAACCAGCCACACTAGGAAGTTTGATAACGTTCCACCTAGAAATCACTACAAAACCACGAGAGTTAAACTGAAAAAATAAATTAACTTACAGTTCTTAACAACATTAAAAAGTTCTATGGACAAAAGCAAATTCATAGTCTCCTAGAACAGTAAAACTTCAATAGTTATGTGATATAGCTATCATGTATGAAAATTCATGCAATCATTTCTGGTCAAAACCTCATAAAATATAGATTGCTTATCTCTATAATCTTGAAAATCATCTACAGACTTCTCCTGTAAACATTAAGCTATTGGATGACAAAAATCTGACAGTTGTAGGCACTGATGATTACTCACCCTTGAAGGTCTCACTGCAGTGTAAATGACTGAAAAATGAATCCCTCGTTCCTGCAGATCCATGGTCACTCTTCCAATTATTTTGTCTGTAAACAGAAACATGTATAATTCAACAAACTCAGTAAGTTGAGAAAGCTAAAATTCTACAGCAGTTGGAGAAGTAATGAGCTAGATGTTTAAGCTTATTCAGTTTGTTTCAGCAACTTAAGTGCTCATTCTATCTAGGTACAAATGGGATAAGACACTCTCAATGTCTTAAAAAATGCACAATTTCAGTGAGATGATTTAAAAAAAAATACAACTGTTCAGAAAAAGGGGTGATTTTAAAATAGAAAAGTAAAACCACAGAATATATACCCAAAAGTTTGAACTTTGGGCAATTAAAAGCACGAGCAGGAGAAATCACTTCAGAGGTTTCTTTTCTTTCTTTAAGAGAGTACATGCAGGATGCATATACTGTTAGTCAAGTGATCAGTTAATAAATAAATAATAAAATGTAATCAGTGTTGTTCTGTGAATTACAAAATACATGTAACTACCACTGACAAACAACACTCAAAACATGGTGTTTAGTGTGGGGCATGATATGTATAATACTGGTAGCAATAATTCTTTTCTCTTCCATGGATTTAAAGCCTGCTTCTGCACCCCCAACAGGACACAGAAAAATTTCCCCAATTATATTGGGCCAAAGGAGAAATATGGTGGAGTATTTCTGAAAAAGTAAGAAGAAGCAAATAAGGAAGAGAGGGCCTTTCAAAAAGGTCCAAATATGCCTCTACAAAAGACCCTCCTCTAGTTCTGAAACCCCAGGCAGTTGCAATAAATGCTTTCAACTGACAAATGTTTTCAATATTTGTGCAGAAACATGAACATCTGCTTATAAGGAGCACAACAGCTGTGACTCATGAGCCATTATTAGTGTTGTTATTGGGACTGCCTGAGAAGCAAGCAAGCAGACTCACATTTACTGTTTCAGTGCCTTCCCACTTCTCCTTCATGTACCAGTCTGGTGGATGGAGATTTTGTAACCTGGATATACAAACTTCTCAGATTTTTGAGGTTATACTTTAGAGGAATTGTGTTTTATTTGCATTTGCTGAAATTAAGAGTTTATATTATTATCCTCCTTAACCACTTCTATTTACTGTAATTATGGTGTCCTGGCTGAGTAAAATATTTGGCTTTTGTAAGAATTGAAGTATTGCTTTTTTCTGTAGGATTTCAGCTGAACTGATTTCCTCATATCAGTCAAGAATCACAGCTATGTGAATTTTCCTTCTCAAAATTATTGCTAAGAGAATCTACTATGAGAAATGTACTTACTCAGAAAAACAACTGCCTAAAAACTACTGCCATAATTACACTGGTTGTGGAGATCCAAGGCATTATATAACGTTGATTTTGTAATCTGGATTCATAGGAAATTCTCTTCAGCCTTAGCAAAAATTTGCAGAAAAAAAAAAAAAGTAATATGTATAAAAATGTAGAGATTGATTTTGGGTTTTCTTTCATTAAAGCAACCAATAGCTTTCTGAAATAACATGTTATTTGCATTTCCCTTCGGAAGGGAGATACATGTAACTATAGTTACCAGTAACATCTATAACTCCTGCCTTCAGGAAGATTCTAGAGGTAACTCCTTCATCCAGAGAAGCTTCTGTGAACATCCTTATGACAAGAGGGTTGATATAGATCTCTTGTTTGCCTGTGATCAGAATATACCTTTCTTATGAAGTATTTTCAAATTCTCCAAAGGAAAGAGCTCAGACTGTCCACCATGTTCTAGAGCACCTAAATTAGGTGCCTACTTGGGAACAATAGTGCAGATTCTGTACTTGGCCAAGCAAAGTGGCACATCTTTTCTAATCCACACACCTTCTTCCTGATTAAAATCTAGTTGATACTAACCAAAAAGTTGGCATAGCCTTTTCTTCCATCCTCCCACAGATCACCTCTTAACTTTGCTTTCCCAAAACAAAGTGGCCTGGGACAGCAGCTGCTTGAGTCTACAGTGTGCCCTGGCAGCCAGGAGGGCCAGCGCTATCCTGGGGGCATCAGGCACAGCATCACCAGCCGGGCAAGGGAGGGGATTGTCCTCCTCTGCTCTGAGCTGGGGCAGCCTCACCTCCAGGGCTGGGGGGCAGTTCTGGGTGCTACAATATAAGAAGGATATCACAGAATCACAGAATTTCTAGGTTGTAAGAGACCTTTAAGATCATCGAGTCCAACCCATGTTCTAACATCTCAACTAGATCATGGCACCAAGTGCCACATCCAGTCTTTTTTTAAACACATCGAGGGATGGTGACTCCACCACCTCCCTGGGTAGATGATTCCAGTATTTGACCACTCTTTCTGTGAAAAACTTCCTCCTTAATTCTAGCCTGTATCTCCCTTGGCACAGCTTGAGACTGTGTCCTCTTGTTCTGTCTGTTGTTGCCGAGAGAAAGAGACCGACCCCCAGCTCACCACAGTCACCCTTCAGGAAGTTGCAGAGAGTGATAAGGTCACCTCTGAGTCTCCTTTTCTCCAGGCTGAACACCCCCAGCTCCCTCAGTCGTTCCTCACAGGGTTTGTGTTCCCAGCCCCTCTCCAGCCTCGTTGCTCTCCTCTGGACACACTCAAGCATCTCAACGTCCCTCCCAAACTGAGGGGCCAGAACTGGACACAGCACTCAAGGCGTGGCCTCACCAGTGCCGAGTACAGGGGAGAATGACCTCCCTGTTCCTGCTGGCCACACTGTTCCTGACACAGGCCAGGATGCCATTGGCCTTCTGGGCCACCTGGGCACACTGCTGGCTCATGTTCAGCCGACTGTCAACCAGCACGCCTAGGTCCCTTTCCTCCTGAGCACTGTCCAGCCACACCGTCCCCAGCCTATGACATTGCAGGGGGTTATTGTGGCCAAAGTGCAGGACTCGGCACTTGCACTTATTGAACTTCATCCCATTAGATTCTGCCCATCCATCCAACCGTTCCAAGTCCCTCTGCAAAGCCCTCCGTCCCTCTAACAGATCCACACACGCTCCCAGCTTAGTGTCATCTGCAAATTTGCTAATGAAAGACTCTAAACCCTCATCCATGTCATCAATAAAAATATTAAACAGAACTGGCCCCAGCACAGAGCCCTGAGGGACACCACTGGTGACTGGCTGCCAGCTGGATGCAGCACCATTCACCACCACTCTCTGGGCCCAGCCATCCAGTCAGTTCCTAACCCAGCACAGAGTGCTCCTGTCCAAGCCACGGGCTGCCAGCTTGTCTGGAGTGTGCTGTGGGAGACAGTGCCAAAGGCCTTGCTGAAATCCAAATAAACAACATCTACAGCCTTCCTTGCATCCACTAGGCAGGCTACCTGGTCATAAAAGGTGACCAGGTTGGTTAAACATGACCTACCCCTCCTAAACCCATGCTGACTGGGTCTGACACCCTGGACATCCTGTCAATTCTGTGTGATGGCACTAATATAAACTGTTCCATTATCTTGCCAGGTGCTGAGGTCAGCCTGACTGGTCTATAATTACCAGGATCCTCCTTTGCACCCTTGTTGTGAATGGCTATCACATTGGCCAGCTTCCAGTCATCTGGAACCTCACCAGTGAGCCAGGACTGTTGGTAAATGATGGAGAGTGGCTTTGCAAGCTCATTTGCCAGCTCTCTCATTACCCTGGGGTGGATCCTGTCTGCTCCCATAGATTTATGAACATCCAAGCATTTCAGTAGTTCTTTGACTGCCTCCTCTTGGATAATGGGGGGACCATTCTGCTCCCTGACACCATCAACCATTCCAGGCGGGCAGGTGTCTTGAGGGCAAGTCATCTTCCCACTAAAAACTGAGGTAAAGTAGGCATTAAGCACTTCTGCCTTCTCCTCATCTGCAGATGCTAAGTTCCCTCCCTTGTCCAATAAAGAACAAAGGCTGCTCTTACCCTTCCTTCTAGCATTAAGGTATTTGTAAAAACATTTTTTATTATTCTTTACAGAAGTCGCCATTCTAAGTTCAAAATGAGCTTTGGCCTCCCTAATTTTTTTTCTGCATGCTCCAGCAGCCTTCTTGAATACTTCCTTAGAGACCTGACCCTCCTTCCAACGCTGATACATCCTCTTTTTATTCCTAAGTTCCTCCAAAACCTCCTCGCCCAGCCAGGCTGGACGTTTACCCTGTTGACTGATCTTTTGGCACACAGGGACAGTCTGTTCCTGTGCCCTCAAGATCTCTGTTTTGAGGCATGCCCACCTTTCCTGAACTCCTTTGTTTTTAAGGGCCGTTTCCCAAGGGATGCTCTGAATAAGTCTCCTAAACAGGCCAAAGTCTGCCCTCTGGAAGTTCAATGTAAGGGTCTTACTGGTGCTCCTCCTGACTTCACCAACTATTGAGAACTCTGTTGTTTCATGATCACTCTGCCCCAAGTGACCTCCAACCACCACATCTCCCACCAGCCCATCTCTATTGGCAAACAGCAGATCTAACATAGCCCCTCCCCTGGTGGGTTCACCCACCAGCTGCGACAGAAAGTTGTCCTCCATACATTCTAAGAATTTCCTGGACTGCCTCTTTACTGCTGTATTAAGTTCCCAGCAGATGTCTGGTAGGTTGAAGTCACCCACAAGAACAAGGGCTGATGATCCTGAAACATTACCTAGCTGCTTATAGACTAAGTCATCTACCTCTTCTTCCTGGTTGGGTGGACGATAACAGACTCCCAGTAGGGTGTCAGCCTTGTTGGCCTTCCCCTTAATTCTTACCCATAGGCATTCAACTCCATCTTCCTTAGTTTCAATTTCTACGGCATCGAAAGTCTGCTTAACATAAAGGGGCACCCCTCCTCCTCTTCTTCCTTTCCTGTCTCTTCTGAGGAGCTTGTATCCATCCAGTGCAGTACTCCAGCTATGTGAGTCATCCCACCATGGTTCCGTGATGGCAGCTACATCTGCAGTTGCACCATGGCCTCCAGCTCTTCTTGTTTGTTGCCCAAGCTGTGTGCATTGGTATACACACACCTCAGCTGGGCTGCTGACTTTGCCCCTGACTTAGTCTTGCAACCCTTGGGCCTGCTTCCAGATAGCTCAGCTGCTCCCCCTTCCCCCTCCAAATCTAGTTTAAAGCCCTCTCAATGAGGTCTGCCAGTTCATGAGCTAAAAACCTTTTGCCCTTAACAGAGAGATGTACCCCATCTGGTTCTAGCAGAGGAGATGCTGTAAAAGTTTTCCCATGATCAAAGAATCCAAAATTTTGCCAATGACACCAACCCTTAAGCCACTTGTTGATGATGCGGATTCTCCTGTTTCTTTCTTCATTTTCCTCCACCACCAAAGTGACTGAGCAGAACACCACCTGTGCTCCTGCCCTATCAACTACCTGACCCAGTACCCTGAAGTCCTTTCTAATTGCCTTGACACTCCTCTTTTCAGTCTCATCACTGCCAGCCTGGAGTATCAGCAGTGGGTAATAATCAGAAGGCTGAATCAGCCCAGCAAGTCTCTCAGTGATATTTTGTACCCGGGCCCCAGGGAGGAAACAGACCTCACTGTAGGATGGGTCTGGTTGACATATGGGGCCCTCAGTTCCCTTCAGAAGGGAATCACCTACTACGATTACCCTTCTTTTCTTCTTGATATTAGAGGTAGTGATCCATCTTGCAGATGAATCATAATTGGGGGGTTCACTGGGCAGACAATTTTCTCCTAAATCATCTAGTTGGGTCTCTAGATCCAGGACCTCATACCTATTCTGAACTGGTACCTGTCTGGATGATGGGGATGGGGAGGAGTTTTTGTTATTACCTCCCCGAATGGGGACGCATTTCCACTCCTCTTCATCTACCAGGTGCCCTTCTATTGCCTGAGAGCAGGAGGCAAATAAGTCCTCAGTCTCTTGGTCAGAGGCCTCCCTTAAAGATGGAAGGGCCAAGCTCCACCAGTCTATTTCCCTTTCACTTTCCCTGATACTCCTTAACCTTTCAACTTCCTCCCTAAGCTCAGTCACCAGTGAAAGGAGGTCATTCACTTGTTCACACCGCAGGCAGGTCTCCTCCAACACACTCCCTGAAGCCACCGATAAGCTCAAACACTCTGAGCACAGATGGGTCTGTACAGACACATCCTTTTTGGAGGGCCTAACATAGTCACTTACACTTGTACCAGCCACAGTTTTTGACCGTGTAGAAACCATTACTAACAGACACCTCAAACACAACCAGGCAGCAGAAAGACCTCAAAGAACACAGAAGACTCCTTACTAGCAAGAGAGCTGGTAACCCTGCCTGCTTGCCCTGCCTGCTTGCCCTGCCGCGCAAACTGCCTTGTACACGCCCCAGAGACTCACCACAATCACCACACCCCTGTTTGCCCACTCCTGTTCACTGCGCTCCCCAGAGGCCTCTTACAATCAGCCCAACTCAGCAGCAACACAGGAAGCTCCACCCCTAGCTCCTCACTGACTCACAATGAAGGGTCAAAAGGGGGAAGGAAGCCTTATGAGGAGTGGCTGAGGTCACTTGGTCTGTTCACCCTGGAGAAGAGGAGACTGAGGGGAAACCTCATTGCAAAACCTCATTGCAGTTACAACTTCCTCATGAGGGGAAGAGAAGGGACAGGCACTGCTGATCTCACCACTTGTGACCAGTGACAGGACTCAAGGAAACGGCATGAAACTGAGTCAGTGGAGGTTTAGGCTGGATATCAGGAAAAGGTTTTCTACCCAGAGCACTGCAATAGAGCACCCCAGAGAAGTGGCAGAGGGCCAAACCTGACAGAGCTCAAGAAGCATTTGGAGAACAGTGTCAGGTACACGATGTGATTCTTGGGGTGTCCTGTGCAGGGCTAGGATGGACTCAGTGATCCCAGCTGGTCCCTTCCAACTCAGCATATTCTATGATACTATGATTCTAGGGCTTGGGAAGCTTGTTCTTGAATCCATGCAGCTGATGAAAGAAATGTCCCATAAAGACAAAGCCACTATTTAGCCAAGACCAACATTAAGCCAAAGCTCAGCTACCCAGTATGCTCTGGGGACAAGAAAATAGAACAAAATACCTCCTCTGCAATTCAGAGATGAAAACCCAACTGCTTGTTTTAGTATAAAACCCACTCATTTTGAACTAGAACAAAAACAAACATAAAAGGATACACAACTAAGGTATTTTCCCCTGATTTTCAAATCTGCTGCTGATTTTACAACCCCAGTTCTGAGCAGAAACAGTTATAGCCACTAAGAACACTGTTTAATTATCAGCCCACTACACTGTAAACCTCCAAAACTACCACTTCAGTGATTTGCATGCTTTATAATTTGATTTCTAATTTGGAGTAGTAAGGGAAAGCTCTGCAATGAGATGCCTCTCAGTGCCATTTTCATGTATGGCACCTCTTTTTCAACGAGATGCTAGGCAAGGAACTTTTTTTATAGTATTATATTGAGACATTCAACTTTAACAAGTAGCATTTAATACACTGCAAAACCAATAGAAGACTGATATCAAAGGCAAAGAAGGCCGTCAGTACTGTTTTATAAAGATTAGAAAAACATTTCCTATTCATGCAGACACCCTTTGCTGAGACCAGGCCTTGGAATTGCCTGATGAGCCTGGCACCTCCAGCTGCCAGTGTGCAAGGTGAGATTGAAGGAGGCAGCTCAAGCTGCACGGACAGGTAGGGTTTGCTTAGAGAATGAGCAAAGGCCCATGCCTGAAGCAGATGTGAATTTATCAAGCTCACATTTCATGTCACAGACACTTAGAGTCTGATTAAAACTAAGACAGCCAGAGCTTATAAATACTGTAGAAGGGGAGTGGGATAAAAGCCTTTAAATAGTAGTAGCAAAGCAAAGCCTGGGAACTAGAGAATACTACCTGCTCAATTGAAACCACAAATGATGAAATGTTAGTTATGTCTAGGTACTATCACTTACCATTTTCAGCAATTGCTTCCAGGGTGGAAATCTCTTTTAAATCACTAGAGAAAAAGAGGGAAGAGAAATAATTAAAAATATTTCCTAGGCAAGAATGATGTGAATCAGAAATGTATGAAGATACTGACTGATAAAAGGATTACTGTCAGTCCCTCTGTTTTTCTTTCATCTCCTCCTAATGACCCTTTTCTTCTGCAAAGCCATTAAAAATGTAGGGCCACAACCTCAGCTGATTCTTAAACCCCTCAGATTTTCTAGGCAGCAGTGAAGCCATACTACTGACAGTATTTTGGTCAGCCTCTGAGAAGCTGTTTTTCATTTGGTGTTGGTCCCTTGTTTAACATTTGTTCAGGAGCTCTTTAAAATTGTTATCATGCCTCCTGTGATGTGACAGCTAGAATTGCATTTGTTTAGGACATGTTGATATCTGCACCTTACACCAACATGTACAAATGCCCAAGTAACAAGCTGGGAAGAAGAGTAAGCAGAAGGAACTCAGCAACCATGCCTTATATTTTTTAAGTATACATTCACCAGAAGGAACAGTCTCTCCCTTTCTCTGTTAGATCACAGCCCTCACAGAGCTGGAAACATGAAAAATTATAACCCTCCCCTTCCTTCCATAGCGATGGAAAATGAGGCTCTTTATTAGCTTCAGGTTTGTCTGTATGTTTATTCGCTTGCTTATTTATCCTGCCAGTATTTTTGACCCCTGAAATGCCTCTAGCAATTAATTCTGCAGGTAAATCATGTGTCAAGTAAAATAATTGAGCCTTTCTGCTGAAAAGTGTGTTGCCATTTAGTTTTATTAGCTGCCCCTTTGTTCTCATATAATGAGGCAGACAAAATAGGAATGCCTGACTACCTTTCTCAACATAATTCATCTATTACACCTGGTAAGCTCATCAGGGGACTGTGAAAAACGCTGAATTTTTCCTTGTAAGAGAAACAATTTTGATAGCACTACAAGCTTGCACTCTGTTTTTTTTTTTTTTTTTAGTTTCCTGAATACAACTGACATTTTCAAAAGCTCTAAAAGTCATGCACACATGTGGGTGAGCTCTGTTTGTGCTAAGCCCCTACCTGGCAAGTGGTAGTAGCTGAACCACCAGTAAGTTTGGGTTAGATGCATTCACTTCCAGCTGAGAGACATTGAGATTGGTTACATTTGTTAACTTCCAATCTCCAGATTCTTGAAGAACATTCAGGAGATACTTGGTAGCCTTGCAGTCAACAGCTGGCAAAACTAAAGATGAAGGAGAAGACTGAAGAATTTCCTGTAAAAAATTTATGAGATGTTTATTTACCTGCTTAATATTCAGTTGCTTAATAATTAACACAACCTTTTTTATAATGTTTTCTTAATTTAACATTCAAGGTGAGGGACCTCCACAGTAAACAGCATGTGAATTCTCACCAGCTTGATTGATGGTGGCTTGCAGGCTGCTCCTAAACTTTCTTGCAGTAAGCTTAAAGCACTCAGTAACACCAATTTTTTTTGTCTTTTCCACACGTATGGAAGAGGAGAGCTAGATGATGCAGAAGTTCTCAAGCTAAGAGTGTAGTTGTTATGAGCATTGCCAGAAGCAAAGCTCAGATGACTCTAACTAAATGCCCTTGGATATGAGAAAGATCAGTGTCAGACACCTCCAGTTCCAGCAGCTCCATTCAGTTAAGTCATACTTTGCATAAAAAACACCCTGCATTTGTGTACATCCTGGTGGTACAGCACATGGTACAGAAAAATGTCTAATTTGTAATTATTAATTTTTAAAAGCTGCAGATTTCAGGATCTACAGAGCCTCCAGACACACGCAAACAAAATTCATGTCATACTTTCCACCTTTTTACTCAAAGTACAAATTACAAAGCTCAGGCTGAATTGCTTCAGATAAAGCATCAGGGTATCATCCACTTTATTTACAGATAGCTGAGTTCCTGATACAGATACTTGAATAAAGTTAATTGAAAAACATTCTCATTCTTTAAATTTGGAACCTGCATAGTCAAAAAACATCTGTCCTAGATTTTTCTTGATAATAAAATTAACCTGAAATATTTGGGGAAACAAAATGCAGGGTGAAGTTTTGAAAATTATCAAAATTAAGGTAGCCCATATTTAATGTTGTGGTGGGTTGACCCTGGCCTGACGCAGGTGCCAACCAAAGCTGCTCTATCCTTTCCCTCTTCAACTATACTAAGGAGAGAAACTAAAAAGCTCATGGGCCAGGGAGAATTCACTAACCAATTACACAAGAAAAACAGTCTTGACTTGGGAAAATTAATTAAACTTATTAACAATCAAATCAGAGTATGATAATAGAAATAAAACAAAAACCACCTTCTACCCACCCCTCTCTTCTTCCAGGCACAACATTACCCATGACTCTCTACCTCCTGCCCTGCAGTGGAGAAGCGGACAGAGAATGGGGTCTGTGGTCAGTTCATCACACATTGTCTCTACTGCCTCTTCCTACCTGGGGGGAGGACTCCTCATACTCTTCCCTTGCTCCCACATGGGGTCCCTCCCATGGCAATCAGTCCTCCATGGACTTCTCCAAGGAGAGTCGTTCCCACAGGCTGCAGCTCTTCATGAACTGTTCCAGTGTGGGTCCCTCCCATGGGGTGCAGTCCATCAGGAACAGACTGCTCCAGCCTGGGCTCCTCTCTCCACAGGTCCTGCCAGGAGCTTTCCCACAGGGTCACAGCTTCCTTCAGGCCCCCAGCTCTCCTGGCACTGGGTGCTGCATGGGTTGCAGGTAGATCTCTGCTCCCCTGCACCTCCCTGGGCTACAGAAGCAGAGCTGTCACACCATGGGCTGCACCACGGGCTGCAGGCGAATCTCTGCCTGCTCTGCTGCCTGGAGCACCTCCTCCCACCCCTTCTGTGCTGACCTTGCTGCTGGTTTCTCATAAATTCTCACTCTTTTCAAAACACATCTGCTTCTGTGCAGTAACTTCTTCACCTTTTTAAATATGCTGGCACTGTCTCTGATGGGCTCGGCCCTGGCCATTGGTGGGTCTCTCTTGGAGAATTGACACTTTTGGACATAGGGGAAGCTTCTGGCAGCTTCTCAAAAAAGCCACCCCTGCAGCCCACCCACTACCAAAGTCTTGCCACAAAAACCCAATACAAATATGAATACTGGAAAATATTTTTTCATTGAGCCCTAGTTTACAGCTTGTTAACTTTGCTTTTGGGTTTTCTACATTTAAGTCCAGATTAAGTCTTTCACTTGATCCAACATTGAGATCTTCAAGCTATTACAGACTCTCTCTCTCCCTCCAATGCAAGTGTTGTGGTGTTCCTAACACTTTTCTCCTACTATTCATTTTTTCCTTTTTGTCTGTTCTTTGACTGCTTTTCTGACCTGCTCTGTAATTCTTTCTAATTTCTCACATCTTCCTTCCTAGGCAAAGGCTATCGGTACTTTCATATGTCTATAGATGCTCATAAGGATTATGTGGAATTGTCTGATTTCCCAGACTAAGAGAAAAGTAACTGCAGAAATTAAAATAGAGCAGAAAGCACTGATCTTGTGTAATGTTTGAGTCTGTCTGTGAGTGTTTGAGTGTTTAGTCTTTGAATAGTGCTTTTAGCACCTCTTGGAAGAAAAAAGATGAAACATATCATTTTGATTTGTTTACAGATTTGCATTTAGACCTCAAACTCTGAGCAATTCAATAATTTTTTTTTTATTTTCAATATTTTCATCCCTTGTCCCATAGCAGGAGCCAGAATGGCAACAGCCATTTCATGGAAGGATATTAAGCAGATTACTCATTTAATGTAGAATAAGATATAAAATGTATAATTACTGATTAACATCTTAACTGTGCTTCTGCTCCTAACCAGTGCTGCACTGCCATCTGTCTCAGCTTCCAGCCACTGGTATTCAGCTGCTTTTCATCTGAAGGGGAGATACAGCTGGATATCAGCTCAGCAGCCTCAGGTAGGCAATCTGATCCCATGCCTCTTTGTCCTTCTTGCCATTTGGCAATCATGCACTTTTCTTTACAATACCCATATGTTACTCTGCACATTTTAGGATTTCAGCTGCCACGCTTGTTCAAAGCATGAAAACTCCAAAAGGGGGTTGAGAATGAAGAGGATATTGAGAAACACCTGATTTTGCATTCTGCTAAAGAAACCCACATAGTAGCTAGGAACAGGAGAGGGACAAGGAGACAGAGGAAGGGGGAAAGAAGGAGACAGGGAAGGTTTAATTTTAACTTTCCAATTGTTATCTATCCCACAAATTTTTACACTGTAGCCGTGCCCTTCAAATGTATGCATAAACCTGTAAGTTATTATTTTAATGAAAATTGATTTGATGTACTTTATGTGATAAAGTGTGTTGCAGCTACAGGAAGTACTGAAAAAACCTCCATGCTGTACTGTATAGTGGGAAACATGACACCATTTTTTTTTTCCCTGAGGATTACAGACAGATCCAAGGGACTGTCAAGAAGAAAACCTGAAGTCCAAGAATGGGAGGAAGCATTCCAAAGAATAAAACACAGACTATAACAATAACAAGGACTGTACCGGGGAAAAGATGGATGTGGCCTTCCCAAAAAAAGTTTTGCCTAACAGTTCTGCTGAGGATATCTGAAGGAGTCAATGGGCATCTAGGAAGCTCTAGATGGTACAGTCTGCTTGGCCCCACACAAGGCATTTGACAGAGTCTTGAAGCAAGGGCTACTAAAGAAACTGAGCTGCTTTGGAGAGAGAGGCAGACTATACAAGAAGGTAGCTAAAGAATAGATAAAGATTTAGCAAGAAAGGGATATAAAAAAGTACCTGTTACTGCACTAGGGTGTGTTCTGTTCCATATGTTCCTAAACTATCTGATAAAAATATAAATATTGAGCTAATGAAACTTGCTCGTTATGCTGATTTTTCCAGGTTAGTAAAGGCAGTGTCTGACTGATGAGCTACAGAAGCAGCTTCTGGCACAGCCTCTTGGTCTACTGAGTAACTGATAAGATTCAATGTAAATTGATTTTAGCACAGTGCAGGGTGACAGAAAAACAAACCTAATTTTACCTACACAATAACAGGTATTAAACTCAGAACTGAGTTACCCTTCAGTAATGAAATCTTGAGAGTTACAGCAGCTCTTTGAAAATGGTAATTCAGAGGCTGATAGTGATCAGGATGGAAAAAAAATCAAATATTAATAGTATTTTAGAAAAGGCTAGCGAACAAAACATCATCATGTCACTGAATAAATCTATGATGAACTTTTATCTTGATTATTATGCAGTTCTGTGCAGGTTCCATTGTCAAAAAATAATATAAATAAAAATAAAACTAGAAGAAAGAAAATAAAGACAGTCAAAATTTTGTTAGAACCTGTGTATCACACGTGAATAAATAGTACTGCTCAGTCTATGACCACTGAGTGAGGATAGGATGGAGTTATCACACTACAAGTGGCAATGACTTACAGTCATAATTATGTAGATGCACAGCTGGCCACTAATTGGAGTGTGTTAATATACACTGCAGTTCTAAGGAGCTGAACATTGTCTAGGGAAAGCCAAAGCTAATATTAAAGAAAAATAGTCTGTAGGATAGGTGACTTCTTGAGAAAGAAGTTCCCCAAATGCTAATCGCTGTATTTTATTATTTAATTTAGAAGTTGTTTGAAAGTTCAAGATAAATTATCTACCTATAAGATTCTTTTATTGCATGCAAACCCATTGATACCAAAATCTCAGAACAGCTGCTAATGCAGCTGAACAAATCAAATATCTGCAAATGTTTCTGGGGTTTACAAGTCTATAACTCTTTTTCAAATAACACTTTCTTCTTGTAGAACACATGCTGTTACATGCTCTTATACATTCTAAATGAAATCTCCAGCTTAGGTTTATGAATAAGTTTGCATTTCTGAGGTTCATAAAGGAGGATGCTTGAGAGCAATGGAACATTTATTATAGCTTCACTGATCACTTGTGTAATATAGACTGTGTAGGTAAAAAACTTCTGATTATGCAGCATCAAGGATTCTAATTTCCCCAGTGAGAAAATTCAGACCCGACCTTCATTTTGTCCTGTGTTGTGTGAGTATTATTGCAATCTTTCATTGCATGATTAAGAATTGATTTCTTACCCAAAGTATCTCAAGTGGAGTTCGGGTAATACGGTAGCAACCCAGCAAATTTTTGTAGACTCTGTTATGCCCAATATGGATGACTATAAAGTTCCTTTTCTGGCCCTGAGAACTAAACCCTAAGCAATAGATATTGACAAAACTCTCTCTATGGGCACCCAGGTGAAAAGGAAAGTATGAAGTTTATACATCTCATTTGCTTTCACTCACGTGAAAGAAAATGAGATTTATAAACCCACTCACCTCACCTCCATCAAACTGGAAAAGCATTAAGATTGCCAAATCCAACAGAAAAAATGTAGGAAGTGCTGGAGTTAAGGTGAGCAATTTGTAAAAATAAACTTCCCAGTTTTAAAGAAGCCATAGTACAGAAAAAATTTCTCAGCTCCAAGACAGAGAGGGAACAGAGACAAAGTCAGAAAAAAACCAGTTGCAGATTGTTACATACTTGGGTATAAGTGTTTGACCTGCCAGATACAGACAAGGATTTACTTAAACATGACCTTTTGTTTAGCTGAGGACCTCCTTCCCAGCCTCACTAGGTCCCAATCCCCTTGTATACCACCTGATTTCTAAACCCATCAGTCTCTGGCCTTATCTCTAGACTTTAAAGCCTTTAATCTCTATCTACAGTGCTGATGGAGTCCTGATTACAAGGCAAAGAAGAATGTTTTAAGTACTTTGATATGCCTCTTAAACGTGGAGGGCCTACTTCAATAAGACCACCACATTATTAGGAACTTGCAATGTCATGCATTGCAATGCATGTCAAACAGCTGAAATTTAACCTGTTTTGTAGTCAGGCAGCAACAAAAATTTGCTCTGGACACAGCCTTGCAAGATGTTAAACCCTGAGAAAGTAAAACATAGCAGAGAAGAACGGGCACATCTGCCTGCAGGCACAGCCACTGATCCTCCCAGTACAGATGATTATTATCACTCCCATTCATTCCTCAGAAAACCCATGTAGATACTCTGAATAATTGTTTCTCTTCCAGCAGCAGCGTTAAAATGCTGTTATATGACAAAGAGATTAATATCTCCAGTTCCACTTATACAAGGAAGACATGAGGTTCTAAGATGTAGAGACAGGTATTATGTGAATATTTATGTATTTAATTACATATAGTGCTTGCTGTGTGCTGCTTGGGAATTTACATTTCCTTGTGTGCTCTGATGCCATTTACATTACTAATAGCTCTGTTCATCCTGCACTGCCTCCAGGAATGTCTTTATGACTTCCACAAGTGAACATTCTGTCTAATTACATTTCAATAAACTGTCATGTAAGTACAACCATAGATGTTCTGCACAAATCTATAAAACTTCTCAGTAAGGACAAAACTTGAAGCTGTTGACTGACTCGGAATGATTCCATCTTAAACTCTGTGCCTAGAGTTTATTTCAAGTTAATCAGCTAGCATTATTTTTTTTCATGAAGATTAAGGCACTAGAACATCTAGTGATATATTAACTTAATACAAATATAAAAGAGTTAATTCCCAGAATGAGCTTCAATTTCTGTAAAAACAAAATAGATATTAAATTCTGAAAATACGAAAAAAAGTTATTGGTTCCTTTAAGTTCTTTTCTTCCTGTGGCTTCAAAACAGAATTTTGAGGTGTTGGTCTGGAAGTTTATATTGTTTTTTACAATAGAAAATTGCAGCATATTTAAGAACAATTTTGTCAGTTATGATGACTTGTGAAAACTCAGTCTCTAAAAATATAATAGCTACAAAGCATGTATCTGCAAACTCACTTTATTTCCTTTAACACATCTGCTTAAACTGGAATAATCTCAATAATTTAAACAGGAAAACTTCTGCAACTCAGTGCCCTTTTCCAAGTTATTTTCTCTATGCATCTTTCTTTCATCTTTCTTTTTCTTTTTAAATACTGCACATAAAGAAATAAATGAGATAAATGCTTGCCTGAACATTTTGAAATGGATTCTTGTTGCCATAGGATTCACTGAAGTATGTGAAGTCATCTATGCTAAGCTGAAAAACAAAGAGAGTAGGTTGGTGAGAAGAAGCCATGGCAATCTCATTTAGGTACAGACTTGTGCTCAGTATTGGTGAGAAAAAAAAATGGTTTACATACCCTATCTTGCAGGAACAAGATGAGATTTCTGGAGTTCTGGGCAAGAAGGGGTTGCAAGAGTGCTGTCAGCTCCTGTTCTGAGACAACTTTTCCTTCATGCACTGCAGTGTCTGGATTCCACTGTGATCTACAAAGGAATAATTCCTTTTTCTGTAGAATTTTCTGCCAATGATGATACCTTCCTTTAAATATGCAGCAGCAGGTAATGAAATCATCATCTTGCAGGTAATGAAATCATCATGTTTAAGATTAACTTTGCAGTTCAGTTTACTTTCATTCTACTCAAGAGAAAAAGAATTTGCTTGTTTATGCCTGCATCAAATTGACTGTATTACAGTAGGAATGAATAGGGGTAATGTCTCTCTCTATTTTCTTGTTTGTGTACAACAGCAGAGTTGCATCTTTCCATAAAAAGTTACTTACTAAGTGCAATGAATATGTTGAAAACATTCAGAGAGAATTCCCAGATGGCATCCCAGCTCCCAAAACACTTTGCAGTGCTGACAGATGGAGGTCAGGAGGAGTACAACTCAGACTAGATCACAGGTTGTCTTAAACTAGTTTTTTTTCAATAGAACTTTTGTTAGTAGAAGTGTCTTACAGAGCCATTGTACACAGATTCTCTCCTAAGGTTTTCATGATGAAGGAAACATTCTACAGAAGCCACTCAGAAAAGCCATTTTTCCAGCAGCAGGAGCTCTTCTGAATGGAATGACTCAAAGCACCCAGCCTACAACTCCTTTGCCAACCTGTCACTATGAGGACTGGACAGAGAAATAACTCATCTATTTAGTTCTGCTGCTACAGGAAACAGGCAAAACAAGAGGTGGCATTATTCTTTCAGCATCTCATTGGGATTTTAACAGTGTGCAACATGGGTCTGTAGGAATGAAACTTTTTATGAACATTTTTATCCTAGGTGTTTTGACTAAAGAAAATTGTCTTTGGAAAAACAAACTGAACTTGATGCATAATCTTCCATCTTTGCCCAGGTACACATCAATTGCAACCTGAGAAAACAGGTTTTAGCAAGTGATGACACTCCAACTGGTTCTGATTACAATGAGTCGAATGTAGGCAATTGTTGTGTGCTCTAACATCATTTATTATTGATTGTAATTTGATCAAGTTGAGATAAAAGTTAAATTTTCTAACCCAAAGCAATTTGCAAATGACCATTGCACAGCAAGCTTTTATGAACAAGAACAACCTTTGCAGTCCTTTAAGATGGAGGCAGAGCAGGGTTAATGAACATATATGTGGGGTTCAATGTGATTTTTTGGATAAGAAAATCTAAATTGCACTCCATGTCCTCCCTAGAATTCCAAAGAAGATTGCTGAAAGTGAATCAAAAGTGTCAAATTGCACCCATGGCAGAGGTCAAACCAGCACAGTCCTGCAGCACCAGGTGATCCCACCTCACTTTGGACTCTGGGGTTTGGGAAAGCATGAGAGAAAATTCTGTATGTGGAAAACTCCTTCAGGACAATGTGCTGGAAATGTGAAAATTAAATTCTAGTAGAATTTTTGCCCGTCATTTTACAAGCTTTAGAAATAAATCTTGCTGAGATGAAGGAAATGTTTTTTTGTTGGTTGAAATGATCTGATTTTTTTTAGTTTTACTCAGTATCTTCGCTTTGTTAATTTGTGCTTGGAAATTCACATTAACTTATGTTTATAAACATAAACAACTGAGAAATTGCAACGGGCATGCCTCAACTTTTCAGAGAAGACACACCTCACAATTTAAAAAAATTAAGTATAATCTTTTAAATGAATATATTTGAAAACACAGAAAGTCACAAAGATTCTGAATGACTCTTCAGGAACTGACTTTGATACTGACTTTGTGCCTTGCATGGCCACATCAAAATACTAATGATATTAAAGAAAAAGCAGAGAGAACAAATTAAAAGATGATTAAAAAAAGGCTTGTGTGAAAGAAGATTACACTGAATACCTTGGTATATTTATTTTAAAAAACCCTAAATAAATCTATTTCATACCTAATCTTAGAAAAATAAAGCTTTTGAGAGCTTTGGGGACTTGCAATTACAACTAAAAAGTAACAAAAGCACATGAAACAAAACGAAATTATCTGCAGCAGCACAATGATAAAGGCTTTTGCTGTGAACTCAAAACCTCAGAAGTTTAATGATCCTCTTTTAAAACATACTTGCTTCTAAGAAATTCCCTGTTCCTTGAAGCAGTTCTTGTTAGCTATCTAACCTTGAAAACACCTTTTGTGACACTTTTTAACTTTCAAGCAGTCAACTTTAGTAACTTCATCATCAAAAAAAAAAATCTACATCAGTTGATTAGTAATTCTTTTAAAATGCAGCATTTGCCTAATACTTGTATTCACAACATTATGCATACATTTATTTTGCTGTTTTTTAACAGTGTGCTGAGCACTATGCATGGCAGTAGGGAAGGCTACATCCTTCACTGAGGGAGCTGTTGCTTGGTGTTTGGTTATTAGCCTGGTTCAGACAGGAAAGAGAACCACAGGAACATTTAGGCTGGAAAAGACCTCTAAAATCAAGTCCAACTGTCAATCCAGCACTGCCATGTCCACCACTAAACCATGTGCCTAAGTGCAACATCCACATCCACCTGTTTTTAGAACATTTCCAGCTGACTCAACCACTTCCCTGTTCCAATGCCTGACCACACTTGCAGTGAAGAATTTTTTCCTAATATCCGACCCAAACTTCCCCTGGTGCAACTTGAGGCTGTTTCCTTTTATCCAATGTTTTCCTAGTTGGGAGAAGAGACCAACCCTGCACCTGGCTACCGCCTCCTTTTGGAGAGTTGTAGAGAGCAGTAAGGTCTCCCCTGACTCCCTTTTCTCCAGGCTAAACACCCCCAGGTCCCACAGCCACTCCTCACAAGACTTGTGCCCCAGCCCCCACCAGCTGCCTTGCCTGGTCAGGATGTTTTACTGGATGCTTTACTGGGAGCTGCAGGTGAGAGGGAGATCTGTGAGTGCCAGGGGCTCCTGGATACAGCGAGGATGAGCTTCCCTGAACACAGCCAAGCAGCTCATCCCACTGAGCTGCTCACCTCAGTGTGGAACCAGCAGCAGGCCAACACACATATTGATTGCTCTTGTGGACTGCTCACACAAACTCTTGTGCCCAGAGACACACAGCCTCCTGCAGCCACCCACGAGCCAAGTGGGCTGCCTGCCACGGCACCAGCGGGGCTCCAAATGACAAACATCGCTGCTAATGGATGTGTGCAGGAGCACACAGCTTTAAGGAACCCTAAGGAAGCTTTAAGTTTGAGGGAATGTAAAACTCAACTGCTCTTTCTTTCCCCCAACAGTCAAACAGTGCCCTAAAGAAAGTGAGGAAAGCAAGTTTAGCTTGGTATTTTGCTCCTTTTTTATATCTTACTGCTCTGACATGACAATATTATGCTCCTTCTTGAGCAGTATTCTTTCTGGAATTTGAGCAATTGGGTTGATGGAAGCAAAGATTTCAAGATTTCCTGTATCTGGACCCACCACAAGGGCAGATGGGAAGACAACAAGGCTTCTAGCACTCTAACTCATGATTACAGTTTGCTTTGTAGCTGGCTTCAGAACTCTTTCCTAGAAGTTATTCTTGTCAGCTGTCTCTATCAGCCACCTTGTGATTACCATGGAAGAAATCATGTTTTCCCCTGCTCAGGAGAAGAAAAATAGCTTTCATGCTGGCACACAGTGTCTCCATAGGCATCCAATAAAATTATAGCTAAAAAAAATTTTCCTTTCTATGTTACACCTTCTTTCAGTAGATTTATCAGTAAAGTCCCTGTAGTTTAGGAAACAGTGCAAATGTACTAATTTGCATTAAGACCTTCTCAAAGTCATTTATAAACTGGGTTTGTCAGAAAAAGATTATCTTCCCTATATAAGCATAGCATAAAAAAAGGAAGTAATATATTTTAAAAGACTGTAGGCAAAAATCATTCCTAAAACAAACACATGAGGGGGCAATTACAAAAGCTAATTTTAATGAATTTATTTGCTCAAACTCCTTCTCTTTATCTGTGGAGGAAAAGAAATTCTTCTGAACATTAGTTCAAAATGGCTAAATCAATTTTTTTTTGTGTATCGTATGGAAGAAGAGCCTTTCAACCTCCCCTACTTCAAAAACCCAACCAGGGAATATTAGTTTAAAGGCTGATTTAAAATAAAGGTCAAATTTTCCACACCAAAGTTATTTGAAGAACATCCAGTGATATATTCTTTTGTGAAAAACAGGACAGTGTGACGTACTGAGTTAGTCCATATTTGAATTGAGATAGAATGTTACTTTTTTAAAAAACACTTTTGTCCAAGTAGGGATCTGCGTTTTACTTTCTAGAGGAAAGAGGTATTTGATTTACTAATTTCTCTGTGAGAACTGGTATCATACTTCCCATTGCTTTGTGCACTGCCTGTGTTTGTCAGCTGTGGGTTTCACCTCTGTCTGGCATCTAACATAATCTTTAATAGCATGAATACAGTATAGTAATAATGCATAAAAGAGACTGTTACATTCTCTGATACAGCTGTCCTGAGACACGGCTTGGCAAACACTAGCTAGTTCTAAATTAGAACAAAATGTAGTATCCTTCAATTATTCAATATGAAATCCTAACAGATAACCTGGGAAAGGGTGATGGAATAGATCACTGAATCACAACTTCTGTTGATTAATGAATTGCTGAACTTTTATACTGGTGGGACATGTTCCTATGGAGTGAATAGATATCCACAGATATCCATAATTACTGCAATTCTCCAGTTAACTTTCCTAAGACTCTTAATAGTAATTTCCAAATTTCATAGGCCTGTGGATGACACACTGCAAACCTCACATCACTGGGAAGTACCAAATGCAAAGCACAGACTTAGGGGTTAGCAAGAGGAAGTTGTCGTTAGTGTTACTTTGTTTTATAAAATAACGAAAAACTTCTTTTCAGGTGCTTCATAGACCTTCACCAGAACTAATTTTGGCCCTACAAGAGCTTTACCTTTCAAAATGCAAGTATCATGGTTGGAGGAACACTTCCTCCACAAAATGTTGTATTCCTGGAGACATGAAACTGTTTACCCAGTCCAGTATCCTGATTTTCTGCTCTGGATTTGTATAAACCAGAAAAATCTGCAGTAGAACAAGCTGCTAATTGCATCTTGATGGAAAGTTTGCTTTTATGACCAAATGGGATTAAGTGATAAGATCTTGTTTATATATACAGCAGGTATGTTTTTTATATAAACCAGGAAGTAGGACAAAGGAAGCAGTGATCTTTTCTTAGATGCTTAGAATCACTTTTAACCTAAGAACAGTGCTTTCCAACGTTTACTTTGCTTTTAAATACAGGGGTATTACACAGGGGTAATACACTCATATGAGTCTTGTCATATATAGTGGTGAATCACTATGTATTTTGAATATAAAATTGCCTTGATGTTGAAACATTTTTTTTCTTTTAGGGGGAGAAAAAAAAGTGAAAGCTATAAAATCAAACTTTTTCAAAACATGCAGATTTCCATATGCAGAGTTTCAGGTTTTGGAAATCCATAAGAGATGAGTAAACATATGGCAAAGGTGGTTAATAAGTGGTAATGAATTTTTCTGACAACTTTACATATTCAGTATCCACCTGAAACTACTGCATTGCCCAACCTGCCATATTTCTGGAAATCCCTATAATGGTACAAATCCTTAAAGTGATCATGAATAAAATTCCTGGTTGGAAAGAAAGAGGCCTATTCCTGGTTCTTTCAAAACAGCTTCAGAGTCCGTTTTTATAAATTATATGCAAACCCCTGAATTCCATGTCTCTGGATCTGTCAAGGCTGCAGTTGTTTCTAACATCTGATGCATATACATACAGCAAGGTACTTAAGAACTTGTATTTAAAGTGAAAAGTCAGGGTTCGGAAGTTAGGAAATCTAAGGATTAAAAAACTACAACAGATTTTTTGGTCAGCTCCCTTATGTGCCACTGCCTTATATTGTGGATTTAAGCCAAAACATCTCTAACAGTAGAGTTCAAAGATGCTTTAGGGTGAATTAAGCACATCTATTTCAGATTAGTTTACAGTATTAATTTACTTCTTGCTTAGCTTAGAACACAAAAATTATAAATAAAAATGGGTAAAATCACCTGTTGACTTGTTTGATGGCCGAGGTGCAAATTTATGTATTGGTTAATTTCCTGCCCAGAGCTGATTTACCATATTCGGTGGCACACTATACTCTGTGCAGACCCACGCAGAGCAGCAGCACAAGCAGGGATACACTTCGACTCGATCTCTTACCTCCGAGTTGACCAAAGCAGCATGGGCACATGATGCACGGCCAGGGACGCGCGGAGCAGCAGGGCAAGGGAGCCCAGGAGCAGGGCTGGAGCAGCGGGGCACAGCCGCGCCATGGCTCCGGGGCTGCACACGGACAGCGCGGCTCTGCGCACAGCCGCACTTCCCGCTCGGGCTGACGCTGCTCCCCGACAGCAGGGGGATTTCAGAACACCAACTTCCTTCGCCTGAACTTGAGAGTTACTCCTGTTTTTAATACTTTCAGGTTTGTGATTCAAACAGCTCGTAAAACGCTCTGCAGTGAAAGCATTGTCAGTTTCCTCTAACCTTGAAGTGCAAGGGAAAGTCATGAAGTCCAAACTCCTGTTCTATGCAGGCTGATAACACTTATGTAACTTCAAAATGGAGTTTACAGAAAAGTTTTCTGTACTGCACAAAATATATTCTGCAGAACTTCTATCTTCTTTCCCTGCTACATATTATCATGTCCCTCAGCTTAGTTTTTTCACATGTATTGAGATCTGGCGTCACACATTCGGGTGTTGACAGGTTTGAAATCTGCAACAAACTGCAGATTCCAGCAAGAAGGAAGAGAGAGAAAATGGCATGTTCAGAGCCACTGAAACACAGAATTGTCAAGCTATCTTTTGCAGAGAGCAATGCTGCCCCTGAAATCAAAAATATTTTAAGTCAGGGCAAATTATAATCACTCCATAATGTGACAGGACTTCAGTATTTTGCATGACTCATGTGAGAACAAAATAGTCTTAGAAAATTCCTTCATGCCTGGAAGCAAATTGCTCTGGGACGCTTTTTTGTGGCTGCCAAACACTGAGCAGTTTCTACACCTTGTGACTACATTAGGCAGCACAGCCTGGGCACATGTTTGGCTCTGGGCACAAATGCCTCCTCACCATCAGAAGAAGATGTTAGAGATCATACACAAAAGAAGTTATGAGCTATGTTTAAATGAGTTGTATTAAGGGAAAAATAAGGAAGCATAGTGAAAACTGTACAAGATGACAGAAAGAGAGGTCAGAAGATATGCATGACTAAATCTGAGCACATGTAGCCAGATCAGTTAAATCTACTTGTCTTGAATCACAGTATATTGCTAAGACTGTGGTTTCCTAATATAAGGCAATTTGTTCATCAACTCAATCTGAAATATGATTTCTCAGAAAAAAAATAAGGGTAGCAATAAAACATTGTCATGTTCCTTTTCTTCTCCATGTTATCTTTACATAATACAGATTTTTACTGTACTTTTTCCTCTTAACCTCAGAGATATATTAGAAATCCCATCTGTTCCCTTTAACAAGCCAGTGTGTGTGTTTGTTTAAGAGTCTGTACAGGTAAGACAGTAAACCAGACCCCAAAGACAGAGGTAGAAACAGAAGCACCTAGACAGAATAAAGGAATTGCAGAATTTCCAACAAAACTCAATTTTGCAGAAGGACAATATTTGACACACTAACCAATTCACACAGTTACAAAAACATCACCCTAAGTCCTACACCAGATGCACAAATAGTCTGCAGGTCTGATCACATTCAGAAGAGCCAGCTGGGTTCACAAATCCATGGTTTATTGAATGTAGCTTCTTTGGGATTGCTGGTGACAAAAGCAGCTGCTGCAGAATATATTGCATTAACAATATGACTGCAATCACAAGTTTAATTTCCTGTGTCAATACTCAGCATAACTGACGACCCAAGACTCACCAAAAGGGATCCTTTTTGTGGAGGGTGAGAAAGACAAGCCTGTCAATCTGTTCCTTAAAATTTTGTGTCAAATTCTCATCCCCCACTGAAGTACAAAATTGAGGTACATTTTAGACTTTATTAACCATTGTTGTGCAAAGCACTGTTGGCAGGACTGTGGTCAAACCTTCACTCTGTGTAGTTGCATTGTATGGAATATTTGCTGGTAGGAGGTGCACTTGGTTTGTACAAAACATTTCTGGGCAACAAGTGGAGCACAGCCACATGGTTTCTACCCTCACTTCCCGTTCTTCCCCATGGCCCTGGCAACACAAACCACAGGGCTCCGCCCAGGTTCCGTCACATCCTGAGCTTTGCCCTCTCTTCACTGCTCAGTGCTTGGAACACACCAGTGAGATGCACAGTTGGGGGGTATACTCTGTGTTCTGCCTTACAGAAACAGTCTTAAATCTTCTTGAAACATAACCACAGTGTTTTCTCTCAGATTACCATATCTCTTATGAACAAACTTTTAACTGAAAACAAACTGACTTTTCCTTTTTAACATTTCGCCACAAACCACAGTTTGGGAACAACTGAAGTGAAAAAAGCTTTGAAAAAAAGAAACGAGAAGAGCCTATTGAGTGGGATTTTAATTTGCTTCACTAAGTAAATTTAGCTCACAAATATATCTGCATATATTTTCTCCTTTTTCTTCACTCCTAAAAATAGTGGGTTTTTGGACACTGATTTGAAGGATGACAGTTACAAGACGCTTATTTTGTGGAAAAGCATGTTCCAAATATTAGTCAAGCATCTGACTGACTGTACTTCCAGCACAAATTTTTAACTATTTACACAAAAGTTTTCACAGTGTGACTAAATGGCACTGCCAGGAAAGAGCTAATGGTGCTGGTGAATGGAGTTCACACTGATCTGGCACACAGCCACCAGTGGTGTTCCCCAGGGCTCACTACTGGGGCCAGTCCTGATTAATGTCTTTACCAATGACCTGGATGAGGGGAGGGGGTCTGTTGCCTAAGGATGATGTAAGAGAATGGTGTGGGGGAGCATGTCCAGAGAAGGGCAGTGAAGCTAGTGAAGAATTGAGAGAGACAAGAGAAGATGGCCTCAGTTTGCACCAGAAGAGATTCGTGTTGGATAATAGGAAAAAATTCTTCCCAGAAAGGGTAGTCAAGCTTTGGAAGAAGCTGCCCAGGGGAGTGGTGGAGTCACCACACACGTGGAGGTATTTAAGAGCCATGTAGATGTAGAACTGAGACACAGTTTAATGGTGGAGTTGGCAGAGTCAGGTTAATGGCTGGACTCGATCTTAAAGGTCCTCACAACCTAAATGATTCTGGGATTCCAGAAACCTCCAACACCACACTGGATTGAAATCAATGGACTACTGGCTTTTCACATTTGTTTGAACTATTTCCTTACTTTTTTTTTAAAGCATCCTTCTGGAGTTGTAAATTACCTTTTTAAAAATATGCTTAAGAAGGAAGGAAAAAATTTATAAAGAGGCAGATTCCTATCTATGTGACTCATTGCCATTCAACCCATAATTTACTTCAAAACTCCTTTTATCACTCTGGGGGAAATTCAGACTTAGCAGCCATTCTTATCTTAAGGCTCAGATGTCAGAAAGCTCATAAGCCAGCTGGAATGCTCATGTGCTGCAATTCTACAATTAGTTCAGTAGTGAACTACAATCCAGAACTTAAACACACTAAAATTCTGAATTTAATGGTAAAATCAGTGGAAAGGTTCCAATGATGTTAAAATGCACTTGTCAGCCAGATACTGGTTCTACAGTTCATGTTCTGTTGAGGGAGTCAATTCAGTTTTCAGCTGTTTGCTGGCAAGTATGTGCTTATTTCTCCTTGGAAATGCTACTGCTTTTTCCTAAGTAGTTTCATCTGTCAGAACAAAAGGCTGGGTCAAATCCACATCTTATAATAGAGGTTTCAAGAACAACCTTGCAACTTTCTGTTGGATTTTTGGATTTACACCATATGTTTTTCTCTGTAACTATGATCAAACATAAACTTTTTTAATTATGGGGAGAATTTACTTCTTCAAAAAATACAAACTCCTCAAAACTAAACATATTTCAAACAGTCTGAAATGTGTATTTCAAATTATGATATTTAAATTATAATAATTACAATCATTTCAACATCTTGGATACAATTACATGCTGGCAGTTCTTCTATGACCATCTATATGAGCAACAAAATGTAAAGTGGTTCTTTTGCACAAATGTTTGCAGGGCAAGGTGGCTATATCTGGAAAGCTACATATATTCCATTGTTCTGTAAGAATCCAGGGCTTGAGGGGGTTTCTGCCTTATGTGCTTAAGAGAAGAAAAATAAATTTAATACAGTGCTATAGTATTAATTTTCTAATTAAAGGGTGACAAAAAATTAACAGAATTTGCCCAACAGGAATATTACGCTACAGACAGAATGTTCCAAGCAATTCAGGAATACTCAGAAAAATAATCATTGCTCTAAAAACTGAGAATTTACAAAGCTCTTTAACAACATTTTATTTTTTTTTAAATGAAGTTACAAAACTTGAAACACAGTTAAATTAACAGATTGGGATCAAATTATTTTATCCTAAGAAGTTTATTTTGATGTTTAATACAATTAGGGTATTGATGAAAAAGTATATTTCTTTAAAATCTAGGAATTTAGTTCACTTCTTTAACTTTGAGGAACTATTTTTTTGGTAGGAATTTGCATTAGACTGATTGTTACTTCTATGCAAAAATGATGCCATCGCAGGAATTCGAGCAAAGTAGTTTTTTGCCCGGATATGCTTTTGTTCTATTTTGTAAATAAATGGAGCTTCGTAAGTCTGAAAAAAAAAATACCATACAAATACCATAAATACAATTAAGATATCTAAAAATATATGTGTTGCTTCATATTTTAGACATTATAAATATTTCAACATATTTTAGAAATTATAGATAGTGATCTTTTAATAAACTAAGGCAGATCATTTATTTGTATGTATACATAATGAAATATTTTGTAGTTCTATAGTACTATCTTATGGACCAGTAGTGAAAATTTCTCCTTGCGAAATATTAGTCGTGTTTTAAAACCAGAGTAACTTTTTTTATCCATTCAGGATTAAACTTACTTATTTACTTATTTATTTATTTCTGGTGAGAACATATGCACTTACATTTGAAAATTAAATAAGGCAACACTTAGATAGCAACATTTGCAAGGAGAAGATGTAGGGGCATTCCTTGATAAGAATCAGAGTAGTTATTTTCAACTAATCATGGCAGCAAGTATTTTGCAGCATTTCAGTCAGCACTTGCATGCAGTGGTGACATTTTCCCAAATTCCTAGTTATTATTAGTAGTTTGGATGATGGAATAAATAACCAGAATATTTAATTGAAAAAACCTTTTGCGATTGCTGTAGTCATCACTTTGAATAATTGCTTTAAAGTAAAATCACTATGAATAATTGCTATTGAACAAAAGGCTTAAGAGGCCTTTTTTGTTTTGGTGAATGAAAACAATGATTCAACTTACAACATTCTAT